CCTTTGGCACTTATTTTCGCATAAGTCAAAATCGCAAAGTGCAAATGACCTCGATAAAGGCGGCGCTCCTTTTTTATTTTTTTTCTTTCTTTTTTCAACTGGCAATACGCAAGTAAATGGAAATAATGTAATACAAGCGACCGCGACCGACCGCTCAAAAAAAACTGCAATCGAAAAAGACATTCGCTTGCCTTGCCTGCCACCAGCATTTCCCTTTATAGGTTTCCCACTTTTGGCCTCTGGCGGACGGTCGTGCGATGCAAATATTTGCTGATTTTGTTTTGTATGCGCAAGCGGTTGCATCATTGGCCTTTTACCGTTGTACAGCCAGTCGCGCGTTTTCAGTTTTTTTTAATTAAAATTTGGCTTTTTGCGAGTTCTGTGTGCATTTCGTACATACATATGTATGCTTTTGTTTGTTTTGTTGGCGTGCACATTTATTTTTTACCCACAACAAGACATTTTTGACACTGATATCTGATGTTTGTATGTATGTATGTATGTATCTGGTGACATGCTGATGTGTAGATTTTTTGCTGCTATTGCAAGCCACGCGCCAACTCTGCATTCTAGCACTAGGCCAATGGCCTATATTTTCGCCTACTAGTTACAATGCGCGCCAGAGTCGCCGTCGTCAAGTGGCGTGGCGTAGCGTGGCGTGGCGGTCGGCGCTGGTTGACGTGCGCGCACTGATAGCTTGCAGCAGGAGCCATGCACGAAGGCTTTTCACGCGCTTTTCAGTTGTTCACAATTTGGCCTATCATCCCACCTGCGCTCGCCCGCGCTTCACATTTGCTTATCAACAACGGCTTGTTGTCATATACATATATGTATGTATGTGTGTAAATTTTGTTTTCTTAAACCAACACAGAGCTTTGGCTAACATACTAGGAGTTCAAGGTTGCCTGGTATAATCTGGTTTGTCGTTCATTAACCGCATCGCAGGCTGCCTGACTGACTGTTTGTTGACTGCTCGCTTCTGCAAGTTATCGTTGCTTGCACTTTGTGTGTACGTATGTATGTATGAGCGCTAGCGAACGCTACACACTCATAAAGCAGCTAGTCGGTTGGCCGGCCTGAAAAAGTCATGGCACCGCACCGCAACACATCCAACTTCTCCGTGTACACACAAAGAATATTAAAACCGCTCCCACATAATTTTGGTAGCGGTGGCGGCGGTGAGCAGGGTTGGCAGTTCGATGGAATTAAACTAAACGGCAAAGCCGCCGCCTTTTTTGCAAAAAAAAACAAATACACACGGAATAAAAAAAAAATGTTACTTAAATTTGGGGAAATATAAAAATAAAATTCAAAACAAATACCTACTTATAAAAAAAAAACCACAACAACAAAAGCGACCATAAAAAATGAGTGCAAAACAGCAAAAGCAAAATGCCAAAAAAGCGAAGAGTGCGAACCCTGACTGGCGGCGAGCTCCAGCAGTTTTCGAAATTAACGAAGCGTTGCTTTTGCGCTCTCAATTTTCGGTGTGGTGTTCTTCCGGAGATCGAGCTGATAGTGGTTAGCAAAAACTTTGTCGTCCAGCGGAGTAGTGCACAAAAGTAAGCAAAGGCTGCAAGCTGCCTACTGGGCAAGGGATTAAAACGCTGAAGCCGAACTCTGACTATGACTAGAGTTTAGGTATAAAAATTTGTATATAATTTTGAGAAATTAATTAAGTATTTATTAATTAATTAAATCCATTCCAAAATATCCCGAAACTATAAAAAGCTTACAAGAAATACATTTTATTAAAAAATTGCATAGATGCACCACGAATTCTTGTACACGCACACGCACACTCACACACATACTACACTCGCAGATGTCGTCATGCACTTTCGCCTGCTACATACATACATACATATGTACATATTGTTGTCCCCAACACAATTGAGTGACATTTCCGCTGAACGCATTCTTGGGCGATGACATGTTTCGCCACAACAACAAAGATGCGCGCATAGCAAACAGCAAGCAAGCAATGTACAATGTGATAGCACCGAATTAACAACAGCAAAACAAAAAAAAAACAATCAACTTAAATAAATAACAATTTCGCAGAAAAATTAACAATTGAAATTTTTGTTGCGCATCTTTTCGAGTTATTTTGTGTACAGATTTTGTGGGTGGGAGGCATTCAAAATAGTGAATATTTATTTGAAATTCTTTATATTCTGTGCTGTTTTTTTTTGTTTTTTTTTGCAGTCGTATACCGTTAATCGTTTTTCAAAGTCAAATTAAATACTAAAAAAACTAAGAAAAAAAAAAGCAAACAAATATGTAGAAGGGCTGCCAGGCGGACTTCACCAGTTGGAAGTACTTCAGCTGCAGCGGCTTTGAAACATTTCTGGCTCATCCACCGGTGTTCGGGCAGGCAGCCGAATCAATCGTCGGGCGCGTCGTCGTCGTCGGTTGTTGTTTACACAGCCTCAAATTCCCAGCAGAAACACAATTGGCAATCAGCGACGACGACACGGTCATCAACAACAACAACCACTCATGCGGCCTAGACACAACAAACAAACCGAAATAAACTAACATTCGGAATGCTTAAAAATAAACAGTATTTTTATTTATTTATCTGTCGCCTCGATGTCGTCGCTATTGACTGGGGCCAGTAGTATCTATACAATATTCAGATTTATTTTATCACTTGATTTTTTTTTTTATTTTATTATTATTTATTCTTATCTGCGCGAGCGAATCGGCGATCTGCTGTTGTTTATTGTGGTTGTGCAAAATGGCAAAAAATCAGTTAAACAATATTTTTTTTTTCNTTATTATTTATTCTTATCTGCGCGAGCGAATCAGCGATCTGCTGTTGTTTATTGTGGTTGAGCAAAATGGCAAAAAATCAGTTAAACAATATTTTTTTTTTCCTTTTTCTAATACAAATGCGCACACGGTGAGTGGTGTGATTTGGACAAGCTGACCCCCCCCCAAACGCATGAATCGCATGAGCTCTACACGTGTGCGCATTCATTGATTTCTCCGAGCGCTGCTGATATGGCGCTTAAACGCCTTGCGGGAAAGCAGCTTTGAGAGGTTGTATCCATTCATTGTCTTTTTTTTTGCGGCTCGGTTGCTATTTTTAGGCATTTCTTATTTCTTATCTGTCTTTACATATGTATGTCCGAAAATACTACATACATATACGCATATATGTCGCGCTCTGCTCTGTTAACTATATAGATTTTAAATATGTACATATGTTTGTATGTAAGTATGTATGTACATAGATATGCAGCTTCGTATGCAGTTACCCGCTGTGAATTCGCTTTGTTTGGTGCTTTCGTTTTTGCAAGCAGGTGCAAAAAAATAAAAACCATTCAACAATTGAATTAGCATTAAAAAGCAGGTGCAAAAAAATAAAAACCATTCAACAATTGAATTAGCATTAAAATACAGCGAATAACAAAATCAGGCGCAAACACTTCGCAGTAGCAGCAGCAAAGTAGCGAAACGGCAGCGCATTGATGAAATAGCGAGCGTTGTCAAGTGAAATATGCTAGAACCAACTGCATTGTCTTGCAAATACTGTATGTCGTGTATAAATAAGAAACAAAATATTTTATGGGCAAAGTCACAGCGATAAGCGAAGAAATGTCAGCTGGACAGGGGATCAAGAAATCAAGAATGCGATTATTGGGCGCAGCTAACACAACGCGCGTTGTGGTGGGCGACTGGCCAGATCGATCGGCGATCGTCGACTTTGTCAATTTGGCCACTTGGTTTCAGCTTTGGTTGTCGGTGGAGGCGGAGGCGGAGGCGCTCCGCTCTGCACCGCTTGCACACAAATGTACATATGTATGTATGCTTCAGTTGCAAAATCAAGTTTTCATCGCCTGCGCGTGTGTTTTAATTGCTAATTTTTATATTATAATTGCAGCTGTGTGTTTGAGCGCTCGCAAATTTCGCTAACGCCTTGTTTGTGTGTGAGTGTGTTGGTTGGTGTATACCCATAGAAATTGTCATAAAAATTCTTGGTCGGGGCAAATGCTATGCTGCCCGTGTCGACTTGTGGTTGCCGCATTGTTGCTGTAAAATTAGAAATGCACATTTTCGAAGTCGTAATTAAGTTTTGTGTGTTTGAGTTCGTTTTTTTTAATTTTTTATTTGCACCGCCATGTCTCTTTCGTCGGCACAGTGAGATTTGCATGAATTTTATTGTCGCACGCGCGTCCGAAATGGATTCCTGCAGCGGTCAATTTCGTTCAGTCATTTTTTCAGCAGCACGTTTTAATAATTTACAGTTAATACCTGTTAGTGTTTGTGTGGGTTTTTTTTTTTAATTATCTACCTGGAAACACAGCACATCAAACGCGCGCTGCAGCCCACTATGAATGTTTTCTTGTAGAGTTTAATTAAAGCACTCATAAGCGAGTGAAGCTAATGCGGCTCTCAGGCCTTACAGTCGCTGACTTTTAATGCATTTAAAAGTATTTAAAATTTCAAAATAATCTCACTTAAAAAACTATATTTTCGCCTATTGAGCACTTGACTAATAAACTCCTCCTTTACCTCTTTTCATTTCAGTTAAAGTATGCGAGAAGCGCCACATCCTGCGTNGTTTGTGTGGGTTTTTTTTTTTAATTATCTACCTGGAAACACAGCACATCAAACGCGCTGCAGCCCACTCTATGAATGTACATATAGGTACGTAGTTGCATAAGCATACGCATGCATACATACATATGTACAATTGTATGTATATATATATATGTACATGTAGAGCAGCTCGTTTTCTTGTACCGTTTAATTAAAGCACTCATAAGCGAGTGAAGCTAATGCGGCTCTCAGGCCATACAGTCGCTGACTTTTAATGCATTTACCCATTGAACATCGCCCAGCTACTTTATGATGCTGCTATGCATTGAAAAACGTACTTTAAAAATTTCTTGTATTTAAAATTTGAAAATAATCTCACTTAAAAAACTTTCTTTTCGCCTTTGGAGCACTTGACTAATAAACTCCTCCTTTACCTCTTTTCATTTCAGTTAAAGTATGCGAGAAGCGCCACATCCTGCGCGAGGACAAGCAGGAGTATGTGCGGCGTGAACGTGAAGCAATGCACATGATGACCAATGTGCCCGGCTTTGTGAATCTGTCGTGCACATTCCAGGACAGACGTTCGCTGTACTTTGTGATGACCTATGCCAAGAACGGCGATCTGTTGCCGTACATCAACAAGGTGGGCTCCTTCGATGTGGACTGCACACGCCACTATGTCGCCGAATTAGTATTAGCTTGCGAGCAAATGCACCGTCGCAATGTGGTGCATCGTGACCTGAAGCCTGAGAATATTCTATTGGATGAAGACATGCACACACTGATAGCCGATTTTGGTTCGGCAAAAATCTTCAAACCCGAAGAGCGTATTGCCGCTGCGGCTACGGTGACGGCGACGGCGACGGCGACGACGACGACGTCGCGCACCGGACGCCCACAGAATCGCAGTGATGAGGATGAAGATGAGGATGCCGAGGACACCAATGACACAGGCAGCGATGAGGATCGTGCGCACAGTGGGCGACCAGGGCGCTACTACAACCGCCGACGCAAGGGCAGCTTTGTGGGTACAGCGCAATATGTGTCGCCGGAAGTTTTACAAAATGGACCCATAACACCGGCTGCTGATCTCTGGGCGCTCGGCTGCATAGTCTATCAGATGATTTCCGGCCTACCGCCCTTCCGAGGCAGCAATGACTATGTCATATTCAAGGAAATTTTAGCCTGCGATCTAGATTTTCCCCAAGGTTTCGACAAAGATGCTGAGGATCTAGTCAGAAGTTTATTGAAAGTAAAGCCTGATGAGCGCTTGGGTGCACAAGACCGTGATGGCAGCTATGTGAGCCTCCGCTCACATCCGTTTTTCAACGGCATCGATTTCGTCACAGTGCGGCAGCAGACGCCGCCTCCGATATACCCATACTTGCCGGGCGTTTCGAAAGACGAGGACTTCCGCTCGCAATATTGTATGCCGGAAAACCTCGAACCAGGCTTGGACGACAAGCAGCTGACTCGTTTGCTCGGCATGGAATTGGGCACATCCCTTGGCAGTGGCGACTGCAAACAGAATGGCAGAGAGATTGAGAAAAAGACTGTAGTAAAAAGTGACTATGGAACGCCAACAATCGGCAATCACATGCATAGCTTATTAACATTTTGTTTTCTTAATGTAGATATTTACGACCTTTCGGATGCTGAGAAGCAAAAACGTTTGGAGCAACAAAAGTCTGACAAGTGGCATGTCTTCGCTGATAACGAAGTCATATTGAAGAGGGGCTACATAAACAAACGCAAAGGGCTGTTCGCACGCAAGCGCATGTTGCTGCTGACAACGGGCCCACGTCTGATCTACATCGATCCCGTGCAGATGGTGAAGAAAGGTGAAATACCATGGAGCGCCGAACTTCGCGTTGAGCCCAAGAACTTCAAAATCTTCTTTGTCCATACGGTAAGTGTTATTAACGTTATTTGCGCTTATATCGCATTTAAGTATGTAGTTCCAAACTACTAAAGCTGTGGTGTAGCCCAGTCTGTGCCTTTGACCAGAAATGCCATATCAGAAAGATCTGGCGTGAGCGGATCATCAAAAGCCAAGCTGGAAATGCAAGGCCAGCAGAATTGGAAGTGTGAAAGTAGTACACACCAAGCGAAGTTCATATACAAATGTAAATCCATTGTTTATTTATTATATTTACATACATATCGACGTGCGATAGTAGTATGCTGCTTTGTATTAAAAAAAGATTATCGCTTTTTGAGTTTATGAAAAAATTTGCTTTCGTTTGTGCATTCTTTTTATGAGCATTTAGTACGCTAAATTTAGCTCGTGAATTCATCCCAGTTTGTTCACCGCGTCGCCATCGCATATGCACACGCACACACATATGTACATACATATTTATGTGAGCACGTCGAAAGTGTACCCGGGTTGCTGCAGGCGTATCCGCAGCAAACTGGCGCCATGTCTCTCTAATTATTACGAAATGGTCCCACAAATGCTGCCACAATAGACACCGCCACAGTCACGTAACCTATCACTCATTTGCAATTTTCAACAATGAAATGTGAATTACATCACCGAGTGGCGGAGTACACACCTGTTGTAGTTTTGGTCAAAGAAAGAAAAATTCAAAAAATAGCGCAAAACGTTTATACACCTCGAAATAGAATATACATATATGTACGTCGGTTCAAACATTTGTCATTTTAATTTCGTTTTGCTTCAATTTTGCAACAAAACTATTAATTTTTGCGCATATATTAACATATGTATGATGAATGTATGCGTGGATGGCCGTACATATAGCGACTGTAATGAGCGTAAAGCTTAAGTGAACAGCCACAATAGAGTAGAGCAGTCAGCAAACGGCCTTGAATACGCGGAAATAGTTGGGCGTTTTTGTTCAATCCATGTGTGGTTTATTGAACTTGTAACTTTGCTGCCCAAAGTTCTTGTGTGTGTGCGCGTGTGGCCGATGACTAAGATCAAGGAAATTGGTCGTTATTCGCAATATTACTACCATATGACGGTCGCTCAACTTTTGCTATATTTAGCTCACTTCTCCTCCTTCTAATTACTTCTATTTATAGCATGCGAAAGCTGCTCGCACTGAGCAAACCATTCTACTACAACATTCTCTTAACTATTTTCCATTTTAGGTCAATTCATCATATAAATCACTTTAGCTGCTTGCTTATTCGTCAAAGCTTCAGTCGTCTATTTCCATTTATACATATGTACTTCTTCAATTTGGTATGCTTTGCATACAAAGCCATTGTATGCCCGTTTCGCAAACATACAGACACACCTTCTACATGGTTCGCAATTTCGTTTATGGTTGAGTCGTCATCAAATTATCAGATTATTCACAGCAATGGTGGTAAAATACCAAAATTTATTTACCTGTCCAATGACTTATGTAAAACGAAGAGTCCAAAAAATGTTGACTTGCAAATAAAATGAATTTTCTTCGCCCCTACGAAAGAGGCAACAACACCCAACAGAAAATCACTTATCACTGGAAGATGAAGAATTACCTCTTCCTTTTACTTGTCGCTTTTCATTGTACGAACCACTAAGAGGGTGGGGGGTGCGCGTTTGCATAATCGGGCCATTGCTGTAAGAATACACTCGTGCTCTATCTTATGATGCCTGCAGTAAAAGTACTATCGAAGCTGGACCTATTATAATTGTTTGACATTGAAAAATAACCGTTATATCATTCCTCAGCCACGCCAACATCTCTTGTTTTTTTTTTTTGTCCAATATTTTGTCTATGTTTTTTGTCGGTGTATTTTGGCCACTCGAATTACACAGTGCGGCATTGTCTGGTTTCATAATAAAAGAACGTCAAGTACAATAATAATACAAGTAAGCATTGCACATATTTCAGAATGCGATTTGTTTTTATGCAGAAAACTTTATTTGTGTTTGTGTTTGTGTTTTTAGTGTAGTGGCGGAAAAACAAACGTATCGCCTTTCACTCAGACACCGCCGCAATTGGGGAGTTAGTTAAAAGCGCTAAACGCCAGGTTTCGTAATTCCGCTTGCGCGTGTCAGTAACACGTTTCCGATACAAATGTTCACAAATATTGCTCCAAAGGGAGACATTAAAACATTTTGTTAATTTAGTTTTAGCTTTTACGCAAGCACAACAAGTTACACAATAATTTTTTCCATATCGGTACATAACTGTGTGTGCTTCTGTGCATAGAGTATATCATATACCGCGATATGTACATACATATATACCAATGCACACTCATGCATGCGCGAATCTTCAAATTTCGTTTTCGTATACATAATTCGCAAACATTTTGAAAATTTGCCAACAATGAAATAAATATTTAGTTTTCCGCAAATATGCCTCCTTCGCTCGTCGGTGGTGGCAATGACGCATTTTTCACGGGCAACATATGCCTTTTTGCCCTCGGACGGATGAGCCATGAAAAGCTGACGCCCGTGCAGGCAGCAAATAGGCGAATACGGTGTTGGGGGGGCGGGGTGCTTTTGGGTAGAAACTTTTGCTAGCGTGTGCAGCGTTGAGAATATTAAATTTCAGCTGATCCTCGCACACCCAGCACCACCTTCGCAGCCGCTGCAGTAGTTCGTCTCTAATAATGTCTTATGATGTATGAATGTATGTACATACGTGTGTGTAATTATTGCGGTCAGTGAATACATATATGGCGCTGACGTAGACGAGCGGGAATAGAATAGCATTAAAAGTGGGCGTGAATGTATTTACATGCCAACCAACGACGGCGACCAGCTGAGGTGGATGGGTGTGTGGGCACTGCACTACGGCTGTTCCGAGGCTTTATGTAGCTATGTCCATAATTTGTACTTATTTATGAACATACACATGTATGTACATAGTATACACGAGCTGTAGTATTATCGCAAATAAAATTTCGGTCTACTGGCATAGGTGTATCCATTATGCATACATACAAGTAGGTATGGGCATATGTACATATGTATGCATATAAGTATAAAATATTTGCTGAAATTAGTTTTGCAAATAGCTGCAATGACCAATTTTACGAGCGCTGCATGCGCTGTTGCTCGCTCGTAAACTTTGCTGGCGTTGACACGTGCGCCCACTTGCTCGAGTGGGAGGCACAGTGAGGTTTGGCGGGACTCCTCCGTCATTGTATCCGAGGTATACGAGCAATAAAATTTACTAAACTACGACTATGGAGAGTGTAGAAAATTTGTAAAGGCACGTGTATGAACTCAGTGTTTTTATGTTTTGTTTGTTTTTTTGCTTTTGTTTTTAATTATGTCAGCTTCAGTTGTTAAATCATTTGAAATTTGCAAATATGTATTAGCTCATTCTAAGTATTTGCCTATTATTTCAGTGTGATTAATATTTTATTTTTATTTTATTTTTTCAGCCCAACCGAACGTACTATTTGGACGATCCTGATGGCTATTCGCTCGAATGGGTCGATGCCATTGAAAGAATGCGAAAACTCACCTACCCAGACTGCGATAGCGCGGCGGCGGCGGCGGCGGCGGTGACAACAGCGACAGGCACCTCGCCGAAATCGTCACATCGAACAAACTCGCCAACACTCTTCAGCAATGCGAGCAGCACCTCCGGCGGCAGCAGCAGCAGCAGCGGCAACATGTTGACGGCAGCTATCGCCGCTGCAACAGGCCGAACGACGAAAACGGCGTCGAATTGAATGAAACGCCAGCCAGAAATCATACATCTACTGAAAACGCAACTAAAATTTTACAAAACTCCCAAAACGCCATTCAAATGCAAACAGAATTGCAGTTAAAGCCAAGGGGGCGGGCGGGCGGTCCACCACCGTCCGGTCGGTCGGTCCGTGGGCGTAGGCGCAGGGTAATGCAGCAGCCTGATAAGCAACTGAACAAATCGGCGTAGAAGGAGATATGCAGTAGTAGTATGCAAAAGCGAAGAAAAAGGAAGCAAGTTAAGTTGCTGTGTTCACATCTAAAAAATGTTTAGAACAAATTTAGTTGAAATCATCAAATATCTACATAAAATAAATATTAATTACATAAAAAAATAACAATATCAATTAAATTAATGTATAGTATATACAACTTAAAGAGCATAGCGAATAGCTGAATAGCAAAGCATAGTTGTAGCATGAAAACGAAAGGTTAAATCGCAGAATTAGTGGAAGAGAGCGAGCGGCAGAATGGGGGAGAAAAATAACGGAGGTCATAGCAGAAATTTAGTAAACAATTCTTAGCGATATTGTAGCAAATGCGAGTGCGATATGCAACGAATTGAGTTCAAATCAATTCATCAATTTGCATCGAGCAAAACGTAGCGTAGTGTACATATGTACATACAAGTAAATAAGTGAATGCGGGTGTGAAACGGTTGAAAAGTTGTAAATCGAATTATATATATTCAAGCAGAAATAAACAGATATATATATGAATATGCTATCTTAACGACACCGAAGCCAACTAATATTAATACAGACAAATTATTGCATGCAATCACAGAGTAAACAGTTTACAGCGGAAGTTGTCGACTTGGGCCGAAATCTGAAGTGTGGCACGGTCTGTGTGGCGCTTAATTTTTTCAAAGCGGACCTTAGTTTTCTGCTTTTCAATTTCACGAGATGCTGAATTCTCCGTTCTGTTTCGGTCGCTATATTACGACCAACGTGCGTGATGCTTTTTTTGTGTACTGTTTATGCTGTGATGCAAAAGATATAGATACAATACATATTTACAGCATTTTCAGCAAGCATTCATAGTGTGTGGGTGTGGCGGCGAGCACACTTGCAAACATACATACATGCATATACGAGAAGAAATGTAATTTAAATTAATGTAATTCTAATTGTAAACAAATGTGAATATTTTGTAGTTAGTCACAATTAAATGAATTATACACCAGCAGGGAGGAGATATGCAGACATGCAGATGTACGTATGTATGTACGTTCGTTCGTTCGTTCGTTCGTTCGTTCATAGAAAAAATGAGAGAGAAAACTATTAAGCTAAAACTATAAAACTAAAACTAAGCGTGCATACCATTAACGATGTTAGAAGCAGCTAGCAAAACATATGACACTAGGCAAAGCAAAACAAAGCAAAGCGAAAAGCAGCGCAATGTGCAATGCAACGTCAAGTAAACGCATCCATATGTACTACAATTTAATTAAAAACGTATATATAATAACTGTAATTATACCATATATTATACTATATATATATATATACATAAATGATCAAGCAAAAGAAAAAAGAGGGGGGAAAATAACAATTAACAAAAAACACTGCATACATGCAGGCGTATAAAGAGGCGTAAATGAAATGAAAATGTTGTAATTATTTATAAACAACAGTAATGAGATACATACATATGTTAACTGCAAAAATTATGATTACCCCAATTATTCATGCAACAATTCAATACTTATACATATATATGTACATACATCAGAACGAATGTTTACGGAAGAGACAACGGGGTAGTTGACTAACACACGCGGTGGGCCATTTGCCCCGTTGCTGCTGGGTGATTGTGCTGCTGCGCGAGGCAAGGAAGCGTGTTGTAACGCATAAGGTTTAGTTTCATCGGCCATTGTAAAAACTATTTAGCATTTAAGCTTGTAAAGAGACAACGTGCAATGATAGCCGGCTAGGTTGTCGACAAATAGATGGCGCGAAAGACGGCGATGATATATGTACATATGTTGATTGCGAAAGAAGCATGCCGTTAAGTTGTATGATGGGAATTGCTAGTACTAAATAATTGTAGTTGTACTAAGTAATTGTAAAGAGTTAGTTACACACACACACACACACACACACACGCGAAAGAAAATAATTAACATCCAATCTGCTGCGTGCGCGGGGGCACTCACGGCCGCTGGTCTAACCATCGTTTTTGTTGGGCGCCAGTGCGTGCGCGTGCATACAACATTTAGCTAAATTACAAAATAATTAACTAAGGAAATAAAACATAAAAAATAAAAACTATTTTTATGCGATTAGAATGAATTTTAAGCGTTGCAAATGTAGTGTGTTCATAGCTATAAGCTGTAAACTGTAAATTGTACATTGTTTTTATGCAAAAGCCACTGCTGCTAGCGCCCTGCGTGCATGCGTGACGTGAGGCAGAACCTGCATCTGCCCACACGCCCTATGGCGTCGCGCCAGCCCCCCCGCACACGCACGCCCCCTCGCACACAAACACACATACATATACACGCGTACGCCGCCGCCGTGTTCAAACTTAGTTTTGTGCTACCGATTTGATTTAGACTTTTGCCTTTGCATTTTCGTTTTTTTTTTTGTTTTCATGCGACAATTTGAACATACATACATGCATAGATGATATTTAAACATTCACAAACAGTTTAATGGTTTGTTCAATTTTAATGAGGAGAAGTTTAGTCGAATTTCATAGATCTTGTATATTCTTTTTGTTTTCTAGCGTTCTTCTTTTTCTTTGTTTACACTCTTGAACTTTTGCCCTAATAACGCAACGCATAAGACTTGAATCTAATTGTAGACAAAACAAAAAGCAACAACAAAACAAGTACTATATGGAAAGATAGCAAAACAAAACAGATAGCAAACAAAATGCAACTAAAATGTAACCAAGCAGAAACAAGAAACAACAACAACAGCAATAACAGAAATAACAAAGTAACTAAACTATTTGTAGAACAAAATTGACCTCCTAGTGGAAAAAAAGCAAAGCCAAGCAAGCAAAAGCTACTGAGATACCGTTGAAAATGATCTAAAAATCGTAAATTCTTTTTGTATTGCAGAAAAAAAAAACACACAGAAACAGAACGAAGATCAATTTCAGTTAATTTTTTTTTTTTAATTGATTTAATTTTGGGTTTTTTTGTACGACAAGAAAACAAAAAACAAATAAACCAAATTAACTAAATGATACTAGCAAAAATATGAAACTCGGATGTGTACGAAGCTGAAAGCATGAATATTTCGAAAGTTATTTTTCTAAAGAAATTAAACGAAAAAAAAAATGAAGAAAAACAAAAAGAAAATAATTTCTTGTAGTAAAGAATATATGTATGTAGTGAACAGCGCATTTCTTTTTGATTCATTTGTTTGTTTGTTTGTGTTCTGTTAAACTAGTAAAATCAAGGCGTATTTAACAAGGTGGTGTTGGCCGTATATAAGTAAAAAATTACACTAACAAATTATACGCTGATGTCCATACTGTCATTGGTATGAATTACAACAAACACATCATTTTGACGTAATGGCCTCCGCGGCGAAAAACTCAGCTGTCGCCCCAACACCACCTTGTTTAATACACCTTGAGTAAAATGTTTGTAAACTCAGTTTGGTTGCCGCTTTGTAAAAGCTTAAGTAATTTTGTTATGTATGTATATAAAATTAAGTGAAACGCTAAACGTTTCCGCACCTCCCTTTAAATTAAATCTAATCTAATTTGCCACCTCTTAGTTTTAACTAGCAAAAATATCTAGTTCTATGTGTAACAAACAGAAACAAGCTTATGATTTTGCTTCACAGAATCCATTTGCTATTTTTAAGGGTTTTGGGAAAAAGTGTTGAAATCTCTCTTTCGAAAAGCGAGTGACAAAAAATGTTAAAGCAAATAGTAAAAATTGAACATTTGTAATCTCAGCTGAATGCCGAGTGCAAATAAGTACATTCGTGAGTTTGTTGCTAGCGTGCGCCGATAAGTTTAACGTTAACCTTTTGTTTGTATGTATTATATTGAAAAATATGTGAAATGTAGAAACAGTGCAACTTTTGCAACAAAGTATAGGAACATTCATACATATATTTAATGTATATACACACACACACACACACACCATTTGTATGAATTTTTGTGAATCTGAATTTAGCGTTATGCTGTAAAAAATGTGCAGAGTTGAAATTAATCCTAGTTTATAGTGAAATTAAAAAGCAAAAACAAATGCAATCAATCAATAATTTATAGATTTTGCTTAGTTAGCAGCCGCTATATATGTATATTTTTTTTGTTTGTATTTTCTCCAACACTTTTTGTTGTTCTTTGTTTTTTTTCCGTTAATTTTTTAATATTATATGGATATTTAAATCGTAGTAAACTGCATTGCATACCACAAAAGCACGCAAAACATTTATTTGATTTTTCTCGATTGTCATCGTTCATGTTATCTTATATGCATAACTACAATCATACATACATACATACATACCTACATACCTGCATACATAAACATGAAAAATGAAAGAAATTAAAACAAATACATTAACCAATAATGAAATACATAAATACATACTACGCTGTAGTGTAACAAGTTAAGAGCGAGCGAATAAATAATTTCTTATTTAATTAAATTAATGCTTATAGATGAATTATTTGTAATTAATTTATGTTACTTTAATGAATTAATTTATATACAATACATACATATATTACTATACTGATTATTATTTACACCTAAGATAAATTTATGCAAAAATTATTTCAAAAAAAAAAAGAGCAAAACATAGTAAGAAAATATTAGTTTTTAAGTTAAATTATTTAAAAACAAAAAAAGAAGAAAGTTGAGAACCGAAATTCACAAAACAACAAAACCTTGAAATAATTTCAAAAATAAAAAGGAACCCCCAAAATAAATCTACTATTAAAATTATTGATTAAAATAAAAGTCGACTGTAAATTTACAAAAACAAAAACAAAACATATTTTTTTCAATTGGAAACCGGAAGAGCAGGCGTCGAGTGGGGGCTAGCTTGCAGTGTTGGTTTGTTTACCAGCTATGAAGATGAAGATAATGAATTTGGATTTGGAATTTCACTTGCCGAGGCGTCGGAAAATTTTACTTTGCTTTAATTTGTATGCACAGCTAGAAATTATTGATGAGTTGCTTGGGAAATGTAAAATTCAATGAAAGATTTTGGTTTTGTAGTTTATTGCACTTTTGATGCATTAACAAGTTATTATGTAGGTGTTTGTGCTCCTTGCGGGCGATCGTCACTGTATCAAAATTTGTACCAATTTTACGAAATCCCAATTGCTGCTTTTGTTGCTGGAATTGTGAATGGTTTTCTAAAAAGCATAAGCCACTGTTTGTAGAAGAAGATACCGATAAGAATCGGCCGTGTCGCCAATACCATGTGAGTGAGCAAAGACAGATTTCAGTGGTGAGCAAATTGAAATTGAATTAACTTATTATAATTGTAAGTATGTATGTATTTAATGCTGCAGTTTGCTATATGCAGACAAACATACGTACGTATGTGTTTTACACTCCGAATTCCGGATTAGAATCTCTTCAGTGTTCAGTGTTTAATTTTATACAGCACGAATGTTGATGTAAAACTGCAGTTCCGAAATACACAATACATTTGTACGTACATACATACATACATACATGTTGGAGGGTAAAGTCAGAGCGATATATATACAAGTTACGTCAAAATCACTGAAACCTATGCATGCCTACGTAAAAAGTATAGTAAGGATGAAAGTGGCAAGTCATTCGCGCGTACCATAACTTCCATAAAATAGTATGCGAGTGTTTACAATACATTGTACAAATAATACAACATATGTACATATGTATGTTTATTTTAGTGCAATTGAAATTGAGCAGATATTATAAATAAATAATTGTAAATGAACTAATTCTACTCGTAATAACAGAGAGACAAGCACACGCTTACATACATACATATGTATGTAGGTAGACTGCGTATAAAAATTAATATTTAGAAGGATTATATTTACTTATTAATTCGCATTAATTCTCTTAATCAACTAGCTGTGCCGGCAACAAATTTATTTCGTTATGAACCGAATAACAACTAAGTAAACACGCTCCGATTCACTTGAATAGGCACATTATGCATTTATCTTCAAGAACGGAGCTTTCATCTGGACTTGTATATCTAGGAGAAGCTTCGTTTTAATCTCATTTATGCATTAATACATACATACATATGATAAGCTTAATATAACATGTAATTTTTAAGCAAAAAACAAACCCGACTTCAATTCGCATATAAAAATTTAAGAGTACCGTTAATTTTTACTGATCCCATTAATCGGATCTAAACCAAATTAGTATGGGACAACCTGTGAGGTACCAACTTTTTTTTTTTATTTATATAGGTCGCTCCAAAAAATAAAATATTCCGACGAATGGCTACCCTTCTCCTTGGTTTGAAGTCGGTTTAAAAGGCCCTATCTAATATTTTTGTTTTTGTTTTTATAGAGTATGTAGTTATAAAACCTTCAAAAACTGTTTTCAATTGCAATTGGTTTTTAATAAGCACTGAGACTAATTTATTGATGTCGTAGTAGTTGGTTTTAAATTATATTAGGTACATACTTAGTGCGCAATCTACACGCTTACGTGCAGCGCTAAATTTCGAAAAACAATGAGTTAGGGCCTTTGTACATTATTTTCATAATTACACCAATATATGTATGTATGTATGTACAACGTAAAGAATTGCGAAGTGCCTTAAAATAAAAACTAGACATTTCTTTTTTTCTCTCGCTTTGCTGATTGTATGGAATTTCTACGTGTTGCCTTAGGTGTAATTTATTTTAATTAAACTTAACGTATTTAAAGTTAGCAAACAAATAAAAGATGTGCACGTTTTCTTTTCTCTTAACCCCTTCAAAATATTTTCAAACTGAAACTTTAAACGTTTTTCGTCTGCCACCCATATTATGAGTAGACGGCGAATTTGCATGCAGAAAACGAAGCCCAAAAATATGTACCACTTAGCTATAAACAAAATAAATAAATTTTTATAAATTTTGTTGTGGGGTACATATTTTTAGGCTTCGTTTTCTGCATAAAAATCCGCAGTCTAATTATGAGAGACATAGTTTAATACAATCTCTGAATCCAAGTTGAATTTAATTTTTCAAAACGGTGGCAACCCTCTTTGATATAGTTAAATAACACCTTTTCAAAACTAGAATGATACGTAAGTTGGCAAACCGTCGAATTTCTAGTCTTTTTAGAAGCAGGCATACTGGTTTTAAGAAAATGTCGCATCCCACACTTTTTCCGAATGACGACAACATTTTTTACAACAGTTTGTTTGCTCTCCTGAAAAGTACACATTTTCACATTCGATAGTTTGACATGGTGTCTAAGAAATGTATAAAAAACAAAACCTGCTTTGGAACTCAATTTTTTGAAACAGTGATGATCAGTACCGCCATTGAAGAACCGTAGCATCCTGAAAAACGGAGACATTTTCTTTTTTGAGACTTGAAGTAAATAAAATACCTAGGTTTGTTCCACGAGCTACTCGAAAAATAGACTCGAGCTAAGTTCAAACTGCATAAGGCAAACAAGCTGACAAATTAAACTAGTTTGGTGTTAACTTCGACAAACATATTTGTCTTTTAGCACAGATTACGCTCGAAGAATAGTTTCGCGTAAATTATTTCTTAGTTTTTTAACATTTTGAAAAGAGTCAGACTTCGCATAGCTGGTGGAACAAACCTAATATTACTATGTGCGAGTGCTTAATGCAATTTAGGATACGGACATTTGCCGTTATTCATACAAACCTTTTACTTTTTTTAGTTATTTACTTTGTTTTATGTCTCTTTGGCTTCTGTTTTTCATATCTAATAAAAATTATGAGGATCTAGACTTGTGATCAGCTAATTAAGCCAACAACATTTTGATAAATTTTTTTTCTTTTGTTTATTTAATGTTTATTATTTTTCCATAAAAGTCTAGTCATTATATAACAAACCCCACATAAATCCAGATTTCAAACTTTGTGCAAAAATTATGAAAAATCTGCAAAGTTTCAGCTAAAATAGAGACAGAAGAGGGATTAACAACCAATCCGGTTTTTTTTTCAATAGATAGATATGTATGTACATATTTAGTTAAATAATTTTTCTTTAATGCAGAATTTACACAATGTACAATGGGTATATAAAACTGTATTTGTATAAATATGTATGTATATTATCCAGGCTGAGGAAAAAATATTAATTTCAACTAATTAAATGATTGTATTTAAATAAAATAAGCTTGTAAAAATGGACTAAAACCTATGTATGCAAGACAAATGTACATACATACCTACATACACATCGACATCGATCCAAACCATAATATGCGAAGCCTTAGGTAACTTAGCATAGCATCGTTTGGAGACGTCGGTCGATATGTGCATAGAATTTAAAATGAAACTAATAAGCGAAAGTGCGCGAGAATGTGAATATGTATGAATAAGCATAGAGAGTCTTAACTATAAATAAATATAAGAGGTATAGAATAAAAAGGAGATGGAGAAAAAAACTAAGTTCGGAGTTTTTAATTCATTGGAAAAGTCCTTTAACAAATAATTTTTAAGCAAAAAGCAAAACCGACTTCAATTCTCATATAAAAATTTAAGATTATCGTTCATGATCCAATGATCGGATTTAAACCAAATTAGGATGGGACTTGTGAGGTAACACCTTTCCTTTAAAAATAGAATTATAGAAATGGGTTTACGTAGTCCAAAGTTATGCAGTAGCATACATGAAAAAATATATATACACATATATATATTTCGACGCACTGATAACCTTCTGCTTTTTGTGAAATCGGTTAAAAACTTTAAGCCATTTTCACAAAAAACAGAAACACGTGAGTTCAGCAGTTATCACTGTGAAAAGGTCGTTAATGGCGAATTTATTTTTAATTTTAAAACTTCTGTTGGCATTTGCATTACTTTTTACGGCGACATCTATTGAAAAACATTTAACACATTTCTGACGTTAACGTTGATACAGAATGACTCACAAAACGAATAACCTATTGTGAATGGTTGTTAGCTTCGACAGAGAACGTATATTTATAAATATACGTTCTCTGAGCTTCGATAAGGAAAACAAATACAGGGCGCTCAGGGCGAGCAAAAAATTAGGTAGAGTATTTCCGAAAACTCGATGAAGGCTTTGATGTAAATGTGTAGCTTTTTAGAGCTTTGAGGAATGATTAGCTTGTCTGAGATTATTTTGATTTTGACTCTTTTGAGTCCTCTTTTGGATAAGATTTCCACCATTTCCATTACAGCAAAGCGCTCCGCATGGAAAATTGTGGTATCTGCACTTAACGAGTTATTGATTTATGTGCTTTGGGTCCCAATATTCCTGCACCTACATCCTGAAGCGTTTTGGACCCATCCCTTGATGGGAAAATGACCTTGCATCTCTTGGTAAATCTGAGTACTGCGTCTGTGTGATCACTTTCCTGGGTCATATGTGTAGCATTTTCGACCCTATTTAAAATTTCTAGGTGTCCAATAAGATTTCCTTGTTTGTATTTTTCTTTCGTGTGGATTGAGAGTGCTTGGATTGCAGCTTTCTCTTGTATTGCCAGTTGTAGTGGTGGTAAATTTAACAGCGCTTCCATGCCAGCAGTTGGGGTAGTTTTCATAGCCCCTGTGATGCTTACACTGAGGGAAATAATGCATAGTAAAAATGAATATTTTATATTTGATTATCGTTTAAAAATGTTCCAATTTAAAAATAATATTTTCATACAAAATTTATTACGCACGTATTTGACTGTTCACATCTGAATATATAATATATAGTTCCGATCCCGTACGAGTCCGGACTAGTCAGAAATAGTCAGAATCAGTCAGATTTTACTGGAAATCGATCCCGTACTCGGTTCTCTGACTATTGAGAGGACAAAAAAGAGAGTAAATACGGTTNTACATGTTTATCCGTACAAATCGCGTGCTGTGGTGTTGATGGATATTCAACATTTGAAAGCAAATTTATATGCCGGGGTGTAGCTGAGTGCGCAAAGATGCATGCCACAATTGGTTGATATCCAGAGATGGTCAGGATTCGAATTTCACTGCAGGCAACGTACAAGTTAAATATATTTTTTTTTTAGTTTTTGTCTTGATTATTCACTTCACGGATGCGTTTTCAGAACTAACGCGGTCATTTTAATATTCGCGTAATTGAATATTTACCAATATACAGTACTTTCGTTGACGTTTATAGTAAGATCAATTACGTTTCTATTTGATTTTAATATTTTTTACCCTCAGTGTAGGTAAGCCTTTACATATCTCTGAAGAAAATTGTCAAGAAAAACCCGCCTCTGTTGCCTTATTATGAATTATTTTTTATCTTTTCTTATTGATACATTGATCACTTTACTTGAGTTTACTGCAATAGGAACGCCTCTGCTACGAGTATGAAACCACTTGGACACCCCGCAATATATATGTACATACGTCATTGCTTTCTATTCAAGCCAATATGCCTTGACTCAAGCTTAAAATTATTTATAAGACATTCAATTTACTTTTGTAAACACTTGACTTTGTTATTTCAAAGATAAAAAAAAGAGCAAAGATGTCCGAGGACATGTCCACTTCGGTATGGCCAGCAACAACGACCAGTGCGACAAATGACATTACATCTACAACAACTAAATCAACATCAGTCACATCAGTTCCAAAGTCCCACGATCATAAATACGACAAATTCTTTAGCAAAACCGCTGTAACATTGCTGATGTGCGGCTATCTGATTGGGGTAGGCTTGGTCGTGGCTTGGCACATGTACGAAACTGGATGCATTCAGCTGCCAAAGGGAAAATGGCTCAAGTGCAATGTGGCCATGTTGGTGTTCCTGCTGCTTTCCTACAGCCGCAATGTGCGGTAAGAGTTATGCAGATCCTTTGATATTCTAAAGGTATGGACTTATATACATATGTACTTACAATCGTCCCCCCGATTTGTCCCATAGCTGCATTGTCACGTTGTGCATACCCATTTTGTGCAGCTCCAAGGGACGGTCCCTGTTGATCGCATCTGCTTTTCTGTTGGTCGCTACGGGACCGACGATGAATATTCTGCGGAACGTAGACGTGCTCACCCGCAGCTTATCCTGCGGCCAGATGCAACTGAAGGAAGCGCTAGAAGAAATGCTGGAGGTCATGAAACAGCCGCTAGTAGCTATTAAAAAAGCCGTCCAAGTAGCCATGAATAATATAAAGAAAATTGTCAAAAGAGTCGAATTATTATTGTACCGTATAAAGGAACTGGTGCTGGTCGTTTGTAAGGACTTTTCTGAAAAATTTTGCAGAGAAACTTGCATTCATTTGCCTTTCTTCTGTTGTTGGTAGTGAGCGGCATCAAGGTCATGTTCGAATGGTTGAACAGCATTGTGAGTTTCTGCAATAAGGAGTTTGGCACACCCTTCGACCGTTGCATGAAGATCGCCGATGATGCGATGAAGGACTGCAGGTATCACCTAAAACAAAAGGGATACACCAAAGGATAATTTCTTAAATTTCCTTTTATTTCGTGTTATTTTTGTTTATCGTAGTGAACGTCTGGGCTACTTCAAAGGTCTCTGTCAGGCAACGCATCTGTTCTCAGTGCTTTGCTATACTGTTAAGGTTGTCGATGTAATTTGTGTGATGGTAGTATTCTTCGACGACGCTGTACTGGGCACCATTATGGATAGTATGGCAATTAGTCCCCTTTCAGACACGTCAAGTCTTGAAAGCAATTTTTTCGCATTCTCTTTTGTGTTTTCTATTTGCTTCCAAGAAACAAGAAAACTTGAAACGAATTGACGGTACGGAGGTATCTGTACTCTTCCCCTCTCTTCTCACCTCCTTCGCCTACGAACGAGCAGACTTAAAAGCAAGACTTGACGTGTCTAAAAGGGGACTTACAAACACATATGTACATATACTGAGATCCTCATCTTTCATTCTTTACTCCCACAGAGTTGCGTGAATTCACCGAAGAGATCAAGAATATGTTCGATGTGTCTGTTACTTTCGACCACGACTTCACTTTCACAACGGTGGCCTCGAGAAATCTCAGCGATGTGGGCCGTGACATCGTCAATGAGATACATGCGCGCATGACTGGCTTTTTTATAATTTTCGGCTGGCTGGATGTGGTTAGCGGACTCCTCTGCATTTTAGTGATAATCAAGTAGGTGGTTGGTTCTTCAACAAACGTCTTCCAAGTTTATTGAACTCTCGAATCAAATTTATCCTCGCTTTAGAGCCATATACTTTAAAATGAAATACTTGCACATACGCAGCTATCAAAATCACTATCTCACCAAGGACATTCTGGAGATCGATGAGCAGCGCAAGGGCACAGAGTTGGACCGACTATTACCGCTAAAACGAAGTGAACGTCGCAAATATATCTGGGTTAGTTCAATGCCCATCTAAAAATGTTCAACTTGGTGAATGAAGCGCAACCTCTGTCATTTATTTATGTAGATCTCAAGCTGTCGTCTGACGCGCCGCGAGATTTTTAGGCTGATGCGTTCCATGCTATTTCTTTTTATTTCCAACATACAGATTTTCTGCATCTGCTTTGCTGATTATTGCTTCTACTGGCTGTTGGCAATGATCACCTACTATGGCAGCCAGCAGGCAAATATAGAGGGTGAGTGCGTGCGTGCGTGCTATGAAATTCGAGGTTCTTTTATTTTTGTTCTAACGCCGTTGGCAGTTCCGCCATTCATTACCGTTGATGTGAAAGGCAGTGGGTATGTGGCAGACATATTTCGTGGTATCGTGGAAGCTTTCGAGCCGCTTAGTCAGAAATATAACATCGATGCCACGCCCTGCCTTCCGATGCCGAAGCGTCCTAATTTTAAGCGCTACTTGGAAATCAGCGGAATTTGTTTGCTGGCTTGGATTTTTCTCTTTTGTGAGCCATACGGGTTGCGGCTGCGGCATATTGTTATGCGTCTGTACTATCCAGTTGAGGCGAAACAGCGAGCCGTTTGGTTGTACAATGAAATCCTCTTGAAGCGCAGTGAGTTGTAGCGTAGGATTTTGACTAAAAAAAAAATAAATAAATAAATTAGGAAACCCTCACTTATTCGCAGTGACATTTTTGAAGCTGCTAAGGCGTAAAGCGCGCGCTAAGTTTAAAAACGAGCCCAGAGAGGATCCCTATACGTTTCTGGATTGGATTCGAGCAAAGACCAATCGGTAAATTCATGCCTGCATAAACTGCAGACTTTTTAAATTATTACCAATTTTTTCTTTCAGCTGTTTTCTCTGTCGTCTCATATTCGGTCATCGTAAAGGTGACACCTGCATTCTTTGCGGATTCCGGCTAAAAGGGTGATTCCATACAAAGTCTTAATTTAATTGTTCATACGATTTTATATAAAATAGTTTTTAATTGGCTCGAGCAATGGCCCTTAATACCGATGGTCCGCAAGGGATACTGTCCCAGCACCATCTGGATAATGGGCTCAATGCTCGGTGGCTACCGAACAGGCACTGCTTGAAACAGAGCCACCTCCTGAGCACGTCAGTAGCCACCTCTATGAATTTACGGGCGCGAACCACACACCATTGGACGCATCGCTGTACACACAGGCAACCAGCGACTTTCACCAAGACACAATTACTAGCTTCTATAACACTAACACTGAATTAAGCATTCATGTCGATGGCACATCAAGTAAACAACCCTGAAATTTTAGGGGTCACCTTTGATAAGCCTGTTCTCATTCTCCACGCACACAACAACAACAAAGTACAGAGCCACAACAAGGTCCTCAAGTCGCCCGCCGGCGGCACCTTGGGCCTAAACAAAGAAACGTTGCTGGCAACTTGCAAGGAAATTTGCCGACCGGTTCTAAATTATGCTGCGCCTGTTTGATCGCCGGGGACAAGTGGGACAAGTGGGACGCAGTGGACGAAGCTACAGACTTGCCAGAACAGACTTGCAGTTTCTGGTGGGGTGCCACAAAGTGAACACCTTAACTTCCCTTGCTAGAGGAGGAGTCTTCCCCCGGGCACGTCATGGGGCACCTATTCATATACAACGACGCGGGCCAGACATACATCGACCAACCACTGGACCCAACGGCGTACCGACGAGCTATCACCGACATTCATAGGGAGTCAGTCAGATCTTAAACAGACGGCAGCGTTGATCCGGATCAACTCGGGAATTAACTGCAGTTGATCCGGATTAAGTCCCAGTTAATCCCGATCAACGCTGCCGTCTGTTTAAACTTTCACCGCCTAACACGACACCTGGCTTATGAATGCCGTGATCGGAGCCCAATCACCACCTGTAGCAGAGACGGAACTGCCAAGAGAGACCTGCGTTACCCTGGCCCAGTTGCGGTCTTGATACTGTAGTCACTTTAACAGCTACCTGTCCAGCCTCGACCGCAATATTCCCAATGAGTGTGTCCGACATGTGGGGACTCCCCGCACGACACCAACCACCTCTTCACATGCCAGCTCAATCTCACTCAACAAACAACCTTCTCTCTTTGGTCCGACCCTATTGAAACTGCCCGTTTCCTGGGCCTATGCCTGCCGTTAGTTGAGCTTGACGACAATGATTGATGGTTGGCACGAAATAGGCGGAGGGCTTAGTGCCGCTACACCAACAACAACAACCCAACTTTAATTTCACGTCTGTCTTCGACATAACCTACATCGTTTTAAAAACCGATGAAGCAGGACTGACTGATACATTTAAAACTCTTGCACAGTCAAACTTCTTTGTGTCAGAAATTGGTTAACCAAGGATATTAGAATTGTATTTCGTCCTAGTATTTACTAGAATGCCTAGTTTTCATTCGTTATTTTATTCCTAATTTCTAATCAACTATCTTTCTAAGTGCCTAATGATTTTCCAGAGACAAAGTGGAATGCTCAACTCCCGGCTGCAAGGCAGTTTACTGCCAGAGCTGTTTTGACGAGTCCAGTCAAATGTGCTGCATATGTAGGAATCCTGTGGAGTACGGTGATGGCAGCGACATATCGGAAGAAAAGTAAGTGTAACTGCAGTTTAGCGGAATTGTAAGCAAAACCTAACGGATTCTCTTCATTGCGCAGGGACTCCTCTGATGATCCGGACGCTGTACGTCAGCCGCACGAAAGCGATCAATACTGCATTTGGGTACCCTAATACGCACCAAGCATTCAAAGCCAACTGAAAGCAATTTCCACCAAATTTACCTACTGACTAAGTTTTCTTTCTAAGTATTAAATGAATTCATTACCATTTACAGCACACTTACTATGGAAGACCGGGTGCAAGGCTTCTTTTCGCAAAATTCCGCATAGCAAACCGATTATGATCACAGCAGCAGAACAACAGTGGAAAGACAACCGATTTTGGTTAACACACAGCTGCAATAGATACACTGCCACTCGTTTGGTTTAGCATAAGTTATGCTGGCTGTATTGCTTTCATTCAACACCCCAATCAAGGCTGTGTTGCCCAAATAAGCGAACTAAGCAAACGGCCCCTCCTTGTCGCAATTGGTTAGTGGCTGCTTTCTGCGCTGCGCCGGGTTGCCGTAAATGAAGCAATGTGGTGGCACAGGCGGCGGCAGTCCCCTATATGCAGGTACGACAATCGGTGAAATCGGTGTATCGCTGATGTGATCAACATCGAAACTAGTAAATGGACAAATTGTGTGTTGTTTATGGCGCAGCTGCAGTTGAACACATCAAATGTATTAACACACGTATGGCGAATGCTATCAGTGGGAGCTTCTGCAGACTTTTGCATCCATATTGTCGCTCGGGTTAGCAGCCAGGTAAGACAGTCGCTTCTGTGTGAGCGTAAGTATTCTTTGGCGAAGCACCGATCGAGCGAAGCCGAAGCCACTGCACACCGCATAGCGCGGCGTAAGACATTTGAAAATTGCTGACGAATCGTAACTTTACTCCACCGTCTCGTCTGGATGATTGCGCGGGCAAAAAACGGCTGCGCTGTTGGCCAAATGAAGTAGCGACATATTTTCATAGCGTTTAGCGGGAGTGGCTGTCGTGATGATGATGATGATGATGATGGTGATGGTGATGGCTATGGCAATGGTCATGTCGGCTACTGTTTTTGCTTTTGCCGCTGCTGCTGCTATCTGCTGGCCGCTGATGATCGTGCGCTCCGCTGATGAAGTGGGAATGCTGTTGACATTTACTGCGAATTAGTGTAGTCATGACGACATTGCTCACATATTTTCGCGCACATTCTGGCCGCTATCGCTGAGGAGCAAAAGACAATTAAATGCACATAAAGTCGACAGCAATTCGAATTGCGTAAAATGGCTGCCAATGTCTGCATAGTACGTACGACTGGAGTTGTGAAGTTGTGGACACAAAGCGTGAAACGTCGTCGACCCTTTCATAATTTACTTCGCTGGTATTTTGCGCGATGCGTTCTTCACCATCCGCTGTAATTTACGCGCGTGCAATCACAACAATCGCATCGAGCGACAGAACGCGTTGCCGGTGTGCGAATTGGTCACATTAATAGACCGAAGACTCTGAGGAAGGCGTAGAGCCTTGCAGAAGAAACGTGACAAACTCTATCCGATAACTGGGACCCAGCTTGCGATATGTGAATTTTGAAATTTCTTCAGTTGGTTGCGGTGCATTATTTGATCTTTATTTGTTGCATGCGTCTTTGTTCGATTTTTATGGATTTTTAATAAAATCTGATATTACATTAGTGCAGTGTGGTTTGTTGTTGCCACAACATTGTTGTCAGTAGTTTTATTGCTATCGTAATTTTTTATTGTTGTTGTTGTTGTTGTTTTTATGCTAAATGCGTGTGTGCACAAGTGTTTATATGATATTTAACACCCGACGAAGGCATTCACCGTCTTTTGCGTCCCTGCAGCATTTACCTTCCCCAGAGGTTTTTTCATTATTATTTTTTATTTATTACTTTTTTTTGTTTTCTTTGTAGGTGACCACCATCGACGCTCTGTGACATATTTGGATCGCTTTGTTGGGGGGGGGACCACTTACAAGCCACATATGTTTGTATGTATGTATGTACATAAACAGTCACTCCAAAAGGCGGGCCGACGACGACGACTCTGCTGCGCCTGCGCAATGAATATGTGAAACAGTTGGGGTTTCTTTGGTCGCAGCGGCATCGCGGCATTCCGGAGTAAAACGAATGGTTAAATGATTATGATAAACAGATTAGGTTACCACAAATTTTATGGGGACTCATTTTAATTTCAAAAGAATTTGTTTTTCTTGTGTTCGCATTCTGGGTAGGGGAGTTACTCGTATCTGAGTAGGTTGTTTTACCATTGTTACAGATACAATAAAACACGATCCATACGTCATTGCTCTTGTTTAAATTATTCCTTTTGGACCTACATGCATGCATGCGTACACATGTACATACGTGTTTATACACGCATAGGTATTTACACACCTGTGCTGGAAACAAATGCGTTCGCTGTTGACAATTTAGCATTTATGTATCTTTTTCCTTAATTAATAGTCAATAGTGCAACATGGCTCCGCCTTGTTCGAAAATGTGTTAAAACGAAGTGCATATTTCAATAAAATTTATTATTTAACTAAATAGAGCATTTCTAGACCTGCTTATGATACACAAAATAGGGGTAGTTATATAACGTGATAAACCTAAAAATTGTTTTATCACGCTTATCGGCAGTTTATGAAGTTATGTGAATACCCCTAGTTACTACAAATGAATGTAAATTGAAAAAATTGATATTTACTCACCTAGTTTCGTTAATTCATCTCAGTAGATCTTGATCTTTGCCTGCCACCCTTTAGGGCTGGCTACTTGCTGTGAAGTCTTCGTTTGCAGCTTTTTCGATATTTAACGAACGACTGCTGTAAGAGTGTATTCTCAACGAAAAAGTAGACCTTTCCGATTTTGTGGCCGTGGTGACAAACCGGCAACATCATTTCTTTCCTTCATTTTAGGAATAAATAAGTTATCAAAAATTGCTTAAATTGCTTTTTAATATCCGTATTGCAATATTTTATTTATTTTATCAATCTAATAGAATACAATTTTTCAAACAGGTGGCAGCCCTGCTCAAACATATTTCCAACAGCAAACTTTCTTAAACCTCTTCATTTTGATACCCATATGGCAATATTTAATTCATCCTATCAAATGCATCAAATTAAAATTTTCGAACAGCTGGCAACCCTCAAAGATATTTTCGGCTGTAAGCCTTCTTAAACCTCTTTCTTTTGACGGTTATATTGCAATATTTACTTTTTATTATCAATTTACTTTAATTGCAATTTTCAAACAGGTGGCAACTCTCTAAATTATTTTCTTTCTATATTTTAAGTTAGACCTTTAGCAATACATCGGTGAAAATTGCATTCAATTCCATGCCATAGTTTTCGAGTGATGCGCGTACAACAAACATGCAGACAGACAGACATACAAAAATTCTAAAAATTGTTGATTTGGCTTCTGTTGCTCTATCAAAGACCTCCCACATTAATTTTTCTTTAATGTCTATAAAGTACATATATCGGCCTGTTACAATTTCATTATATGTATAGATGTTTCGTCAGTGCAGGAAACTTTTTCTTCTCCAGTTTTATAAAAACATAAAATCACTTTCTTTACAGAGTTACTGCAAATATATAAGTGATGACAATAACACAGCTCTAACTCTGACAGCAGACACATAAAACCATGTTTAGTATATAAAAAAAACAAAAATCTATAATACTGTGCGGAACGTGGTCAGTCTGGACACTTATCAGATGAGCCTCGTAGCTTAAAGATATCTGTCAATAAAATTTTTGTTGTCTTAAATTTTCTCTCTATTGTTATTATTTTGTCTTTCGTGGAAGGCATTTCATTACCAGGGCTACTTTGCTAATTAATTTAGCAATGACATTGACGATAATGCACCCACTCAACGACCCTTTGAGAATATTTCTTAACTTAATAACGCTGCGTTATCAATGCCTATCGAAAAGATATACGGACATAATAGATTGCTAAATATTTTATAGATACTTTTTGCTTTTGAACTAAGAAATGATTCTAAAGTTAACCGTAAATATGTAGATTTCAAAGTGAGTTCTTAGCTTCATCGCCCCATCCCCCACCGCCCACATCGGCAAATGAAGCCAACCAACCGCCCATTACAACCCCGCTTGGTATTTTGATTCATTTTGTTTTACTTTTTCGGTTTGCCGTTCTACTGCGCAACGCAGATAATGCCGAGCGCGAGTACAGAAGAGCACACACATTTCCTGTAGATAAACAGACGTCGCAACCGATAACCATATATCGTTATTGTCATTGCCGCCGCGCTAGGTATTTGTTGCCACTTTGCTTCTTAGTTGTGATTTTCCAAACAAGAAGCCAACATCGAAAGGAAACTGCGCGATAAGAGCAACGCGTTAACAGGCCCGAGATGCGAGTGTACGACTCAACGGTTTGTCCGGTGAATGTTTTGAGTTAGAAGCTTTATAAGGCAACTACACACACCCTAATGCTTGTATGTATATCTACAAAAAATCGTTCAGTACTTGGTGCGTACAGCTCAAAGAAATGTATTGCAAAATCTGGTGTAAAAATATAAATAGAATTGCATTACAACAAATTGCGATTGAATTAATAGGGGCGCTACTTTCCCTCGTCCCAACGAAGTGTAACTCATGCGAAGGGGCATTCTGTTCACATTGTGCGTCTTTTATCTAACGGGTTACTTATTATTTGTGGCAACACATGCAGTGCATATGGCAATAACAGCAAAATAAATAAATAAATAAATAAGTGAAAATAGAAACAACAAATTGCCCTATTGCGTTCATAAAGAGCTAATAATGTCCGCATTAACACGATCGCGCAAACCGCAAATGCAAGAAAATCCAATTACGGAATCTGGTGGCAAGACACAGCAGCGGCAGCAGCAGCAGCAGCAACCGCAAAAGCGGCATCAGTCGCCCCAACCGCTGCAACAAAAGATACAATCACAGGCGCTACCCAAGCATCTGCTAATGCATTCGATGCCCCTCAGCGCCAAGGCGCAAACGGCTGTGGCAGTGGGTGGTGGCGGCGGTGGCGGCGGCAGTGTTGGTGGTGGCGTCTGTTACGCGGGTGTTGGCACACTACCACAGGCACAAACTGCGCAGGTACGTATCTTA